TCTGTTTGACTCTGTTGTGACTCTGTTGTGACTTTGTTGGGACTCCGCTGCGTGACTCCGTTGTGTGACTCCGTTGTGTGACTCCGTTGTGAGTCTGTTGTGTGACTCTTTTTTGTGACTCTGGTGTGGTTCTTTAGTGTGGGGCTTTCCTGTGACACATCTTGAAACAGCTGGAAAGGGTCTGCGTTGAGGGTTTGTCTCGTTCCTCTGAGGCAACAGACATCCAGCTGTTCTTGTGAGCGGGTCTGAGGCAGCTGGTCCTGAAGAACCGGGCAGGGGGTCCGTTGGCTGCAGGCGGAGCCTCCTGAGGCCGTGGGGGGGCAGCGGAGAGGGAAGTGGTTTTACAGGAACTCTTCAGTGAGCGTTTCATGCGAATAGAAAGCCAGAAAGTGCATTGAATAAAATTGGGGAAATCGCCATTCCAGCTGGTCTGGTTAAGGAGTGGCAAGCGTGTGGTGTTGTGTTGATGGCCGTGTGTGTTTGTGTGTGTGAGGGAGGGTGAACGGGTTTTATCGTGGTGCTCCTCAGCCGTCGGCGGCGCTGGTCCTCTCAAGGTCACGCTCGCTGCTGGAATGAAAGCTATTTCCTCCCTCTGACTGAGTGCGAGACGGGAAAAATAAATGTCTGCTACTCTCCAGACACGGACTTCCTTCGGCTGTGGAGGTTCGTGCCCGTTTGTCCACGCGCCGTCTCTGATGTGGTGCAGCGGGCCGGCGCCCGCAGGCCAGGACGCCGCTTGTGATCAGGTCTGAGCGACGCTGACGCTCCGACTTTCTGCTGAAGTCCCGTTGGTCAGCCGCTGCGTTGGATTCCCAGTATGGAAAAATAATGTTTCAGCAGATCACATGAGGCTTTGTGGGCGGGATCAGAGTTTCACTTGATGGATTTGGGCTAAAAGGGGGTCAGTCTCTTCTTCACTGCACCTTTCTTTTATTGGAAGGTTGGCAGTTCACAAAATGCAGGATTTTAGACATTTAGCTCACAGTGTAATAAAAGCAAAAAATACATTTGTAAGAATATATTTAGTAAAATTAGCAGTAAAGTAAGTACTAACAAATTGCAGCACTTAAATTGTACTTGTAACGTCACTCATCTATAGCAAATTGTAAATTGGCTTATTTGAGGAAATTGCACTTTCTTGTTTCTTGTTCTCCTGAGTTTGTACCTTTATGGTTGAAAGCACTTATTGTACGTCGCTTAAATAAATATAAAAGCGTCCGCTAAATGAAATGTAATGTAAAATATGTAATATTCCAGGCAACAAAAGTATTGTCTGCAGGCCTGAGCAAAATAAATATAAGATAAGACTTTACTTCTGATGAGGAGGATATGAATCATCCATCGAGTACTTCATGCAGTTATACTCATTTAGTCGTGGGAGGAGCCCATGCACGACCCAGCAACGCTTAATGGTCACTGAGCTGCACTATGCGCGCACAATAGAACAATAGAAAGCCTGATGTCCAGTTCCTGCAACAAGGATGACTTAAAAAACACTAATGCTAAATATCAGCCCCCCCCCCTGTCGACCAGACGTTGCCTGCTCTTGTTCCACCGGAACGGCGGCGCTCTGGTGGGGCGGATCCACTTCTCCTGCTGTAAGGCCCGGCAGCACCTCCGGGTGAAGGTTTCGTCTGAAGAGCTGCTTTAACTAAACATCATGCAGGCTGCTTATGAATGAACGCTCCAGTTCAAACAAGCTGTGCAAATGGATGGGATGAGATCCTCGAGGTTTGAGGGCCCTTTTCATGGCTGTTTCATAAAAGTCTGCAGTATTTTCCACCAGCCTGTAACCTCCTTTCCATCCGCACAATTACTGCCTGTTTCACACAGTCAGCAACCTGGTGATAATTAAACTAAAGCAATACAATCAAAAGAGTAATACGCTTTGAAGCTCCTCAGTTGTCATAGCAACCGCATCAGTCTGATGCAGAACCATTATGGGGTAGCTGCTTCGCTTTAACCCGGCGGCAACAGCAGATCTTCAGATTGAGAAAAAACAGAAAACTAATTCCAGAAGATTTAAAACGGCAAAGTGATGAGCGCCGAAGGTCCAATCATAATGATTTCCATTTACTCCTGACTTTCCCTCAGGGACTCTGCACTTGTGCAAAGGTTCTATTGCGACGAGAAACGAATGGTGCAGATTAAACATTTCTCTCTTCTTTGTGTGTGTGTGTTCAGGCATCAGGCCCCCCATTATGAACGGGCCCATGCACCCGCGGCCCCTGGTGGCGCTGCTGGACGGACGCGACTGCACGGTGGAGATGCCCGTCCTGAAAGACGTGGCAACCGTGGCCTTCTGTGACGCCCAGTCCACCCAGGAGATCCACGAGAAGGTGAGACACTCGACTGGATCCCGTGCACACGCATCACCCACCGTTTTGTTACACAAGGGATACCTGACATGGAGGAAAGTGTATCCAGGTTCATTCAGATTCAAGAGGGAAAACAAGTGAAACTCCCAGTTGGACTTGAGAGAGTTTCTGATATCCACACGTGAGACGCCAATCACAGTGGCTCATTTAGGCTACTCGAACCATGTGAGCACGAGGAGAGCAGCAGCGACCGCCATCGGGATAATATCTGAGACCCACGCCAAAGGTTATTGGCTGTGCATTAAGGAATGTCCTTAATTAAGCCAAATCCCTCAAAAAAGCATGTGAAATAAGCAGTAAAGGAATCAAAAAGCAAGAGTGCAGAGAGAGAAGTTAAAATGTGGGTCGGGCCCACAGTCACTACGGCTTCTAATTGGGTTTGTATGTCTGGGTGTCTGCCAGGCTGCCCATGAGCCAGGCACACGCTGCCCGTGGGCTCAGTAACCCACAGCGGGGGGGAGAAACAGATGTCTCTCTCTCTCTCTCGGCTACCTCGTTGTGTAATTAAATGGCTCCTCTCTTGTAATTGAGCCGCATGTCATTTTTGATCCTCTAACACACACAAGGAGCGCTGGCAGCGAGGAGAGAAAGATTTTTGCGGATTAACGGAAAACCAATTAAAAGCCACGAGAGACGATGAATCTCCTGTTGAGTCCTAATATCTCATTTTACAATGAAAACAAGGAGCCGTTGTTCGGTTTGGCAGCCGGTGAAGTCGATCCCTGCTGACATTGGGTCCATGTCGACACAGTGTCTGTGGTTACGGAAGCTTAGTTTCCATGGTAATATTCAGGAAAAGCCCACATCCCACGCTGTCAGGGATATTAAAAGACACAGGATGTGAGAAAGACATAAATGGCGTATCCTGAAAAAAGAAAAACACACATCCGAGTGACTCTGAACTTGGTGACACTCAATGTTCATGATAAATGATTCGCCCGACTGGTGCACGCTGCCTTCTACGCCTCAGCTCAGGGGTCACGTTAAAGCTCAGGGGTCACGTTAGAAGCTCAGGGGTCACGTTAAAGCTCAGAGGTCCCTTTAAAGCTCAGAGGTCACGTTAGAAGCTCAGGGGTCACGTTAGAAGCTCAGAGGTCACGTTAAAGCTCAGAGGTTACGTTAAAGCTCAGGGGTCACGTTAAAGCTCAGAGGTCCCGTTAGAAGCTCAGGGGTCACGTTAAGGCGCGTGTGCGTCTCTGCAGGTGCTGAACGAAGCTGTGGGCGCGCTGATGTACCACACCATCACCCTGATGAGGGAAGACCTGGAGAAGTTCAAAGGGCTGCGCATCATCGTCCGCATCGGCAGCGGCTACGACAACATCGACATCAAATCTGCCGGGGAACTGGGTGAGAAGACGCGAGGGGCAGCGTGTCCCTCTCAACGTCATCGAAACCAGTCTTATCTCCTGCTGATCCTCGTCTGCTCTCCGGCCCAACAGGCATCGCTGTGTGCAACATGCCGGCCGCCTCGGTGGAGGAGACGGCCGACTCCACGCTGTGCCACATCCTCACCTTGTACCGACGCACCACCTGGCTGCACCAGGTTTGTGTCTTTGTGTGGCTGATTCGGCAAAATTCAAATGTGAAACGTTCCCCCGAATCAGCCAGCAGTCATCAGGACTTTGTCGCCACGATCACAAAAAGGTAATAAGTGACTGTTTTGGGCGCCAGGCGCTGCGCGAGGGCACGCGGGTTCAGAGCGTGGAGCAGATCCGGGAGGTGGCGTCAGGAGCCGCGAGGATCCGAGGAGAGACGCTGGGACTGATCGGGCTCGGTGAGCGACGCCGCACACGGAAATGTCTTCAGTTAGGCCGCTATCGGCTCGCTAGGGTTCACCTCCAGGGGGCCGTGAGCCGAGTGACACACGCTGCTGCCGTCAATGGTTTTTCATCGTTGTGCTTCGGCTAAATTGACTTCGGGACGAGTTAATGACGATAAAACGTACGCAGATCTTCTCCCACGCAGCCACAGAGCGAGGATTCATACACGCCATGTGTGTATCGTGTAAACTGGTCTGAATGTGTATCCACGTGCTCCCGTGTGTAGTAATGTGTGTGTGCACTACCGTGTGCGTGCGTTTCCAGGTCGAGTGGGACAGGCCGTGGCGCTGAGGGCCAAAGCCTTCGGCTTCAACGTCATCTTCTACGACCCGTATTTGGCCGACGGTGTAGAAAGATCTCTGGGACTACAAAGGGTCACCACACTACAGGTAACACACACACACTACAGGTAACACACACACACTACAGGTAACACACACACACACACACACACACACACACACTACAAGTAACACACACACACTACAGGTAACACACACACACACACACACACAAAGCGGTGGTATTTAGGGTGTATATATATATATACATATATATATATATATGTATATATATTGTATATTACTCCAGTCCGGCCGACTCATCACTACATGAGCTTATTACCTTTTCTTAACTGACTGTACTGCTGTTATTTCGTCATATTTTATATCTTGACCTTTTGGATTTCACATCAGGGTAAATAATTGTAAATTGTTGAAATAAAGTTATTTCCATTGCATGTTTCAGGGTGATGCTGAGAGCAGAAGTAGCTCCTCGTGTAACATCAGTTTACTTTGAGGACGTTTAATAATATCCATCAAAGTAGTGATCTAAGTACATATCGATACTTGTAAGTCGCTTTGGATAAAAGCGTCAGCTAAATGACGTAATGTAATGTAGCAATTATAGTAATGATGCGTTTTTAGTGACCACAGCATCTGAAATGTATGGAGCATCTCATCGGCATTCTGTTGCCATGGCGACAGCTTTGCTCAGACACAAACATCGCAGCAGGACACACGAATGATCCAATGTCCATGTTGGAGGTATCTTCAGCAACGTTCCCTCTACTCCTCCTCAGGACCTGCTCTTCCACTCCGACTGCGTGTCTCTCCACTGCAGCCTCAACGAACACAACCACCACCTGATCAACGACTTCACCATCAAACAGGTGGAGGGGCGGCAGCGCGCGCACACACACACACACACACACACACACACACACACACACACACACATCAGCTGCTACGTCCCATAACTATTAAAGGAGGGCCTGCATGCAGATGAATGTGTGCATTAGTATTGTGACCTCGCTGGCCAGTGAACAGAACAACATCTCTACACGGATTAAAAAGAATGCACCATATTCGCGCTACTGTTTGGATCAACCCCAAAACGTGTATCGGGTGGAGCTCCGCCGCCTGGGACCCAAGGTGGAACTGAGTGGGTGTTGATGTGTGTTACAGATGCGCCAGGGGGCGTTCCTGGTGAACACGGCCAGGGGGGGTCTGGTGGATGAGAAGGCCCTGGCTCAGGCCCTGAAGGAGGGGCGGATACGCGGAGCTGCTCTGGATGTTCACGAGACGGAGCCTTTCAGGTACCGCGTCACCGAGCCGACACACAATGATGTCATTAACCACAAGGCGTTTAAAAAAAAAAAAAAGATCATATTTCAGACACAAATGCATCTTGTATCATTCTTGCATCTCCACCTCAGCTTCAGCCAGGGTCCCCTGAAGGACGCTCCCAACCTCATCTGCACCCCCCACGCCGCCTGGTACAGCGAACAGGCATCGCTGGAGATGAGAGAGGAGGCGGCCAGGGAGATCCGGAGGGCTATCACAGGTAGCGTGTGCACGTGCACACGGGGTATCCCGCGCTCGGGTTCGCATCTGGTTCCCTGCTCATGTGGTCTTTTGCGTTCAGGTCGCGTCCCGGACAGTCTGAAGAACTGTGTGAATAAGGAGTTCCTCTCCCAGAACAACCACTGGGCGGGCGTCGACCCGGCTGGCGTTCACCCCGAGCTCAACGGGGCTTATAGGTAATGCTCATCAGGATAAAGGAACCAGTAGTGGTCAGTGCAGTTTGATTTTTCTCCCCCAAATCTTGGTAAAGTCATTGATAAGTTCTGCCACATGTCTTGAGTATACAGATGTACTAATGACTAAACCTCTGTTTAAGTGTAATTATTGGCATTTCCTCATTGGCTTGGACATTACAACTTGTCATCTGAAACCCTGTGATGTAAATGGGGATCATTTATGTTTCAAAGATGTAGTTGTGCACTAAGAATCTCTTGGTGGTGCATCATGGGAAGTGTAGGATGTGTAGCATGCTTGGAGTGTTCAGGCTTTGAAGTAGTCAGAGTGTATTATCCTCTTCAGCTTATAAACATTTAAAACTAAAATGTGCAATACACTGATAGTGAAAAAGTGCAGTGTGACACTATGACAACAAGTATTTTGTGCTGCAGTTCTTTATCCACACACGTTAATATTCAATTGGCTTTCAGAGGACGACTGCTTCAATGTGTTTGTGCAGGTTACTAGGTCACTTTTTGGTATTTGTTGTTTCGGTTTTACGTTGATGTCTCAGTTTTGTGCCCCCCCCCCCCCCCCCCGTGCCCCCCTCCCCCCCCCCCCTCTCCAGGTATCCCCCCGGAGTGGTGAGCTTGTCAGCTGGCGGCCTCCCGCCACCCGTTGACGGCATCGTGCCCAGCGCAGTTCCCATCACACACACCCTCCCGCCCACCGCCACACACCCTCCTCATGCCCCGTCCCCCGGACACAATGCAGTCAAACCACCAGAGGGCGACAGAGAGCAGCACCCGAATGACCAGCTGTAGCCTCACACACACACACACACGTGCTGCCCTGTGTTGTCTGGTGACTGGAGGAAGAGGTTGGCACGGCAACCAGGACCATAGCGATAAGCTCCCTAGCGACGAGTTGTTGTCAGACAGGTTCAGATGGACGAGTCGGGGTCCCAGTAACAATCGATTCAAAACAGTCGGACAAGTTCCAAGAGGTCGGTTCATTCTCCGAAGAAGAAGAAGATGATGATGAAGACGAGGATGAAGAGCAGGTGACCGCTGTCCTCATCTCTAAAAGGAAGTTCTGAGAAAGACTACAGAGATCCAAAAGATGATCTTCACACAACTACAGTAGTAGAGTTACTGCCCGAGGTTGGGAAAAACAAATAACATTAAGATAAATCTGTTGATTTGGAAAGATTCTGCTGTCTTAGACTGTAGTGAGTGCACACGCAATGTGCACATGTCTTTCTCTCGTCTCCTGCATCCTTTCCTTAGTTTGACGTAGTAGGTTATGAGATGAACGTAACCGGTCTGTGTACAGTTTTTAGTGGATACTGATATTTGTATGCCAGTCTTAACAAAAACAAGGGTTGCGTGATCTCTCTATGTGGCCCAACTGGTTGGACGATACAACATCTGTTTCTTTTTGTTGTTTTATGAGCCCGCAAATGAACGAGCCCCGAACCCTTACACCCCCCCCCCCCCGACCCCTCCACCCCCAGAAGAAAAGAGGCAGCTTTTTGCACACCATCTCAGGAAATTCAGTTTCCGCAGTTGGTCTATTTTATTTTTCAAATTTGTTTCGGGTGTACCTTTTTATGCCACCAGTGCTTTTGTGTTTCTACCTGCTTTCCTTGTTGTGTCCTGCACAATGTATTAGATACGAAGAACGTTAGCATGAGCTAAAGTCCATCTGAGGTTTGATCTGTTTTAAAGGGGCATGTGATGTTGCTCGTGGGCCTTGTTTGTAAATGTTTGACCCAAGTCGAAGGGGTTGTGGGAGGAAAGGCTGTCGGCATCGACATCGACTGATGACGAACACAAACTGTTTACGATCCTCTTACCTAATCGATCGGTCCTTCCCTCGTATACCGCTTAGCCCCCCCCCGGCCTCTGTGTCTATGTGTACATATGGTGTTCTGCCTGCCTGTGTCAATGTGACTTGGTTGTATCTGTGTCTGTAAGAGCAGCACTGGGCGAGGGGGTGATGGCCATCCAAACACACCCAACACAAACCACCGAAAAGGCTGCGTGGCCAACCGACCCAGAGGTCACACTCATCGTTTAAACCGCACGTCAACAACCCTGGAGCCGCTGATCCCAGATCAGGTGTGGTGGCGGTGCTTTCCGGAGCCCCTTCTACCAGCGGCTGAGTAGTAGAAACAGCCCACTGTTGCCTACCTGGTCGTCCCCGCGGCGAGGAAGCACGAGTAGCGATCAGGGACGGAAACTTCACGGCTCATTGGCGAGTAAGTCTGGAAGGTTGTGCAGTAGAGATACTGAGGTGATATTTAAATGTCTCCGGCAGACAACAGCTACGAAGTGCTGGAATAATTCAAAACGTCTTCATCTGTCCGAACCAGATGCCAGTCTCGGGTGTCTTTGCTAATACTTGCTAAGAAAACTGTAAGCATTGCTCATTCAAATTGTAGAGTATTATGAGTAAAAACAACAGAGAAGCTCTTAGAGGGCCAGTGCCCCCCCCCCCCCCCATCCAAAACACAAGTCTTACCGGTTATCTGAGAGCTATTTATCAATCTACGTTGTTTTAGAGCAACCTGATTAGTTCTGCGGGTACGAGGTCTATATTTTAGGTGAAACGTCCCTTTAAAGTGTTGAGTGGTCTTTGAAGCTCCGTCCCTGATGGTAACACGCTTCCCTGCATTGGTCCCCTTCATGGTGAAGTAGTAGGCGTAGCAATATACATATTCTATATTCTACAGTAAATATCATTATTTTTGGTCAAAACTGAGAACCCGACTAAGATATGTTTGTGACTGTGTGCATTTGTATGAATTATTTTAAAAGGAAATAAACTGTGGAAAGGTGATGTTAGTGTCTTATTGACGTGAACTCAATATTTCTACTTAATTAATGATAAACACTATATAGTATGCTATAGATAATAATTCTAGCTTTAAGTAACCAGGTAGAACATGAACATGGACATGAATGTAACGGTTTAGATCATTTACATATTGTTTTTAAGCAAATGAATGTTTTTAGCTTCTCGTATACTCGAATGCAGCTGTTAGATGAACCTAACAAATCAAAAACATTTTAAATCACTTCTTTTATACAAGTAAGAGCAACAATTAGTGACATTTTCACCTGATCACTTTGGACTTTGCGTCCAACAGTTACTTCCTCATTCCAACAGATGTCACTAGAACCGCCGAAACCGCCCCACTGAGGAGAAAGGCATCCAGCAGCTGGAACAGCTGGAGCAGCTGAATCTGCAGCTTGCATCTGTTTTCCAGTTTCATTTATTTACCCAGTAAATCTATATTCATCTTATATTATCTGCATTCATCATGTGTGTTCTGCGAGACGCCTACAGAGCACCAGTGTCACAGTAGTGCAGCGGTTGTCGACACTTGTAAGTGATTTACTGCTCCAGAATAGAATATGAAGGATGTGGAAGGATGACATATTGTTCACTTCATGTGCTGTCGATGCAGATTGACATTTAAAAGCCTTCAGATTTCTTCCAATCTACAGAAATAAGACAGAGTGGAACTATTGCAGGATCTATTCCGCAGTTAGAGGTTGCAGAGGACAGGTCCGTTCTTCTGCTGTCTTTGACTAGTGGAGCAACAGAAATTGTTGTTAACCAACCGATCACACGAGAACTCCAATTGAACAGTAGCTTTGGGAGGCATAAAAGATCTTCATCTCTTTGTCTCATGTAGAATCTCTCCATCACGCTCTATTATTTCCTCTCCGTCTCTGGTTCATCCATTCAGGGTTACAGCGACTGGAACAAACACTGTGGCAGCTGGAAACTCAAGATGCTTTAATCTGAACCTCAGGAAGCAGAACTGGAACCAGATGCAATAAAACAAAAGAAAGAAACAGGCGTAGGGACACAAGGACCTGCAAAGCAAACCGGGCAAAGTGAGGCTCTCCCTTTGCTGCTTAAAGCTTTGGTTGTTGGACAGGACAGCGTGAGGCAGGACGGGAACACGCCGCTTTAAGTCAGTTGGGTGAATGAAAAAAACATGCGATATTTGTCACTTAAAATGTCCATTTCTAATCCCACATGCTTTGCTTCTGCAGATGGCTCCACTTGTTTCAGCGTCCTCTCTACTCACCAGGTGAGCGTTCGACGTCTGGAGGATCCGGATGTTGAGCCTTTCCTGTGGTTTGAGATGAAAAAGTCTCAACGGAGGTTTTTGAACAAACGTAACAATGCGTTATTCGACTGGCACATGTGAGGATATTATTGGCATTTAGTCCTGATTACACAACTAAGATTCATGAGCAATACTTTAATCTCAGTGTATTTTGACAAATGTCTTCCTGACCTGAAGATGTAGGGTGAAGCAGTTCTGTGTGACGGAGATGTCTGGATTCATTTTGGAATCTGAAGGTAAACGGTTGAAACAAACTGGCCAACTCGTCGACCCACGCGGCTGCCGTCGATTCGGCAGCTTTCACACCATGAGACCACACAGTGGGACGACCTGGGAAAGGTCGGTTCGTGCTGACAGACCCATAAGTAGGGAAAGACAAACAGTAGGTGTGTGTTTGCATGAGGGGAGTCCGGCCTGAGGCTGATGAATTGCTCGATGATGGACACGGAGGAAACGGGGTGGATTCTCACACTTCCTCTTTGCTTCTCCTTCTCTCTCCCTCTTCTCACCTCGCATCTTACCTCTCTGTGCTTTCTCCTCCTGACGTTCTCTCCCTTGGGCTTTTTATTCTGCTGTGCTCAGTCCAAATAAAGCCTCACGGAGGCGTATTATCCACAGGAATGTGGTAGTATACAGTGGCCTTGACATTCAGAAGGTGTGGAACCCTGCTGAGATCAGTTCCCCACCAAATGCCGGATTTCAACATTTGTTTCCGTGGACGGGTTTGACTTTCCAACGGGTCCACGTACCGTTTCATTGGGCCCGTCCCGCCCTGCCAAGAACAACGTCTGGCGGTTAATAAACACCAGACACTTGTAAATGCTGGCTGGAAGGGGCCGACTCCCCGGCTGTCGCTGGCCACCGTTAGTTTGTTGGTGGCGGGCGAAAGTCTTATTGGCGTCTGCGTCACACAAGGGGAAGATGTGTTGTGATACGACAGCAAGGCTGCAAAATGTCACCAACTGATGGAAGTTAGCTTGAAATAACAGGCTTAAAACTTTAAATTAAACCTATTAAAACTGCAGTTGGTTTGGAGGCAATTTACAAACATAACACTTTAAAACAAGACCCCGTTGTCATAGATGTTCTTGGGTCAAAAATGGGTATTTCCATCACAGTATCGTGTTTGAATAAATCAATAGTCGTCTTCTAGGGATGGAAAATGAATTCAGAATGCATCGTCATTTTCGTGGCCTGTTTTCAAAGGTGGATCCAGGAAGCCGTTTGAGAGGCGACGCGTGATGCAGAAACAGAAATGGTGCCGTAACGGTTGATCCAGGGTTACGTATTTAACCCAAGTTACCTACGGAGGCGCTTTAATGTACCAACAACCACCTCCAGCACCTGGTGCCCTACGACAGAGGAACCTCCCTCCACATCGCACGTCTAAAATCAGATAGTCAGACCTCCTTTGAGTGAATACTGGTGGGGAGAAGTGATCCAATCAGTGTGAATATCTTCATGCGTCGGTGGGGGATTTTTATCATGTGTAAGCCATCGACATGCTTGACTTAAACATTTCCTCGCTGTGTGGTAAACAGCATGTAAGTTCTTTATCAAGTGATCGATACCCTAACATTACATATGTGCCTCCTTGTTGGTCCGTGCATGTTAAGTGTCACATGTACGGGCTTTGAACTATGCGGGTCCAGACATCAATGCCATACTCGTCATTTCCATCCTAAAGGAGAACAAGAAGCTTCAGGTTTTATCATCAAATGGATCCTTCCAATAAGGGACCAGGAAAGGGTTGAATGTCCTATTAAAGCCACAAAGACTGCAGCAGATTTGTTGTTGGTAGGAAACGAACCAACAACCTTTGAGTTATGATGCTGTGTCTGGCTCCGAAGCTGCTGTGCAGGCCAGATGTGAACTTCTGATTGCATCAAAGTGCGGACGTTATGTAACAAGAACCTTTCGCCACGTTTCTCTTCGGGTTACTTTTCTGCTTTTAATGAGTTTCAGACGGAACATTTTCTCCAACATGAAAATGCTGTAATAGCTCAAAGAACGCAGCGCCGACGAGTAACGTGAATGTGTTTAGAGTAATAACTGGTTATCTGTTGTTGCATTGCTGGTGAGGTCGCCAGGTACCCCCCCCCTAACCCCACCACCCCCCCACCGAACCCGCTGACAGATTTCCTGTTCTGTTATTATCTAATCAGGAGTGAAACCTGAGAGACGCACCGGCTGTGGAGGCGATCTGACACAGATTATGGAGCAGTAACTACTCACACCTACGAAAACACAAGCGAGGACCTGACAGGAAACCAGAGGGGGGAGGTGGGGATTATCTCTTTAGGAAATCATAACTAATATCTCACCGTAATCTCTCACATTCAGGACAGTTGTCAAAATTCTCCTTCATATTTATGTCATAAATAGCACAGTTGTCTCCGGTGTTCTAAGACTTCCTGATCTACAAGGCTTGGAAGCCGCTGCTCCTCATTGACAGATTTGCTCTAAAAAAACATTGATGAAGACATGATGAAACGACCCCACGCCGATCAGGTGGTCGGGTTCATGTCAGGTACAAAGCGACTTGGTGGAAGTGGTGCTGATGAAGGCGACCAAGTCACTGGACCTCCACCTTTCAAAAGTCCAGGGTCACCTGGACTCACCGGGTCGGCCCGGTTCATGGAAGCAGCAGGTGCTCCTGGCAGTTCTTCCTGTGCCTTGAAGGAGGTTTATCGCTAAATCCCTGAACAGAGAGGGACACCAGATATACAAGATGGTGCTCCGGAATGACGTGCTGAAAGCCAAGAAGGTGTGCGAGTGTGTGTGTGCCTGTGTGTGTATTTAAGTCTCTTAGCTTGCAATAACGCTATAAAGAAGTACCTCCGTTTTTATGAGACTTTGGGATTGTGCGTGAATGTGTGTCCACATAATAACAAAAACAGACCGTCTTTAACGTGTCCTTCATGCAGACATCTGGTCAAATGTCAAACCATACCTTCACTCCATGTGTTCTTGCGTTTGTCTTCACCCGCTTCTTCATCTTCAGGTGGAGTCGTGCAGCCGGGGCTGCGTGACGTGTGTGATGTTTAGCCTGCAGAGTGCCAATGTGTGTGCGTCGCAGCCCGTCAATCAGGCTTCCACCAGAGTTGTGTGTTCGCCACCAGGGGATTGTGGACAAAAGGATCAGTGTTCAGGTGTAATTGTGTAATTTGCCTCATTTGCACCTTGACTTTAGAGCGCACGTCCTCCTGCACGCTGAGGGACGATACGAACCTTCATGTCTGGGAAAACCATTCAAAGCTTATTGTAGAATAATAATAATACAAAACATCTGTTGGAAAAAGGTTTTCTCTTTCTGCTGCGCTGAAAAAACGATCCAACTCGACAGGTCATCCAAGTCTAATGGTTTTTAAAAGATGATCCCTAAAGACCCACTGGGAACCAGCTGAATGATGTCACACTTCCGTCCATCGCTGGATGTGTTCTCGTGCACCGCCGACTGTGAGCCCGTTTACCCGACGACTGCCTTTTACCTTCCTGGTTCTGTTTGGTCGTTGCCAGGAAACCAACAACACAATACGTGGGGGGAAAGCGGGCCTACGCTCATGGTGCAGCTGCCCGTATTTATGCGAATGCAAAGAGGAAGCAGGTCATGTTTGGGACAGTCATGCACACATTGGCTTAAAGCCACAACGCACCTGTATTTGTTGGACCCGTTGCTCTCCTCTCCCGCCCA